CTACTGGAAACCTTGGGAAAGCTCCTATTGTTTGGTCTCCCCAAATCTTCTACTTCTACTGCTGCCTGAACAATAGCAGTCAATGGATTCCTCCGTTTGAGCTCTTAGAATATCTTTCACCAGCCAAATTGAGACAACTGTCCGGTTACTGATGAGTGATCTTTCTTTCCGATAAGAAAAAATTAGTACAGGTAGTACAATCCCCTATGATAAACAATTGATTGTGTTTTTCATGGCACACTATGGCACAATCCCTTTGCAAAGTCACGGCTCACGTGGATCGATGCCATACTAAATCAGCCTTATAAATGTCTCAAAAAAATATCCAGGCCTTGTTGGTCAAACCATTTGAAGTCCCCATTTTACTGACCCGTCTCCCGTTGACCAATGCTGCAGCGAAAATTCCCACCGTAGGATCGTGAAGACCTGACTGCAGAATCACAAAAACATCCATTGAATGAGGAAATGGGTCAATCCAAAAATGGGCATCTACAGTATACTACAATGTCTATCAATGACAATATATATATATATATATTTATTTGTATATATATATACTGTTATATATATAATACTATATAATTATATATATATAACTTATATTGATGTATCTTGGCCTTCAGAAGGGTTCTATTTGGCAAAACTGTGTGTCCTAAAAACCAGTTTTAGAAAAAACTCACCATTCACGCTGGGTCACGGTTAAATCATGGGTACGGCGTACATCACGGGGGCAAAACCAGGTTTTGCCCACGGTAAATCATGGGTTGGTGTTTCGGAAAGTACCAGCCCGTGCAACTAGACCGCTATTTTTACCCCTTCAACTCCCAAACTCTTTGGATGGCGTTCGAGCCGAAAACCAACAAATGTTTTGAGTCACCACCACTGAAAAGGGGAGATTTTACCCTAAACATCCCTAAACCATCTTAAACCTTGGTTTTACACCAGAGAACGCAGTTTACAAAATAATTACCCTCAAACACGTGTTTTTTTCGGGGTTTGGACGTTTAAGGTGTATATATATAGTGCGGTAAACCCAAGAATAAACGATCCAGATTTGCCAAATTTCACCATTTTTGAAGGTCAGAAATTTGGCGGTATGAAAAACAGTACCCTCAAAAAGGAATTTCTTACCGGGTTTACTACACCTTCAACTTGAGGACGTCATGTTAAAACCCTTTTCTGGTCAAATTGGGGATGGCTTAACATTGGATGTTACATGTCCAAAATGTCCAGATCATCTAAAACCCCATCGTGCAATTTAGGGCATCATCTTCATAGAAATTTCATTATACACATTTGACCATCTCGGAGGCACAACAGTACCGGGTCTTCCAGTTTCTGCCAAGCTCCCCCTAAACCCCCAGCTTCTCACCCTTGGGCCTGCGACCATGCCGGCCAAACCTTCCGGGATGTTGTGAATGGTCATCGCTAACGCAGTGTTGATCCCCATCCGCCACAGCTTCTTCTGCTTCTTCTTTTGCTCAGGAGTCCTGAGATTTGACAGGTTCCCCAGGTCTCAAGAACATGGTGAAACACTAGTGAAGATTAGTGAAGGAAGGCAGGGGAAGACAGACATCCCCCCCTTTTTTCCCCACCTGTCAGGTGAGGGTTGCTAAATTTTATGTCGCTCCTCCTTCTTCTCCTCCTTCTTCTCCTTCTTCTCCTTCTCCTCCGCCGGACCTCAACTGCAAGCGCTAGATCGCAGTGTTCCCCCCCCCGGACCCGAACAGCAAGCTCAGGAGCAGTGTGATCCCTGCCGGACCTCAACTGCAAGCGCTAGATCGCAGTGTTCGCCGGACCCGAACAACAAGCTCAGGATCAGAGTGTTCCACACTGGACCTCAACTGCAAGAGCTAGATCGAAGTGGTCCCCGCCGGACTCGAACAGCAAGCTCAGGATCAGAGTTTTTCGCCGGACCTCAACTGCAAGCGCTAGATCGCAGCGTTCCCTTCCGGACCCGAACAGCAAAATGTCAGATAGAATGTCAGAATAGATGTCAGATAGAATGCCAGAATAGATGCCAGAGAGAATGCCAGAATAGATGCCAGATAGAATGCCAGAATAGATGCCAGAATAGATGCCAGATAGAATGCCAGATAGAATGCCAGAATAGATGCCAGATAGAATGCCAGATAGAATGCCAGAATAGATGCCAGATAGAATGCCGGAAAGAATGGCAGATAGAATGTCAGAATAGGTGTCAGATAGAATGTTAGGTAAAATGTCAGAATATGTGTCAGAATATATGCCTTGAAATGCCATGGTGGGGATCACTCGAAGTAAAGTAATTTGACCAAACGTTGTGGGTGCCACAATGGACCCACTTTATATCTGAGGCAAAGTTTGGGGAAACAACACAATGATCCGATCCGAGATCCCCATTTGAGGGATGAAAAAATGAAGATGATAACGAACCCTGCAGGGTGGAAGTTGGGTGGAACCCAAACATGCCCAATCATCTCAATCTCTTCTTACTTTACCCCACTGCCATCTGAAAGTTTCGATCTGCCATTGGAAAACCCTGCTGGCTCCCCAGCAGCCACAGAAAAAGGGTCGGCCCAACAAGGTCCCTTTAGGAGGGTTCAAAAAAATCTCGGATCTCACCCGCAGTGCCACTCAGCCTCGCCATCTCAGGCACCTGCTCAGGCACATGCACTGCCACCTGTCCCTCAGAGCGGGGTGCGTCGGATGGCAGGGCTTTCTCAGCAGTGACGCTTTCGACTTTATCCAGCCTCAGCTCTTGCAGAGCAAGGCATGGGCCCAAAAAATCAGCCCTTGCTTGGAGCTAGGAACGGTGGTTTCGCGCTTAGCCATGAATGGGATAATAGATGATAATAGTATGTGAATCTGAAAATCAATAATTATATCTCAAAAATCCATTTTAAAAAAAAGAAACGATTGTCATAAGTGGTCGATATTCATTCATCATCAGGAAAACACATGTAATACAGAAACAGACCTTGGGAAGTGGGTTGTCCGGGTTGTCCCAGGCATTGATGGCATGACTATTTTACACAGCGCACCTTCTTCGAGCCCGGGCTGAGGTGAGACCTGTTGATGGCCAAATCCCCTTTGATCATCTGTTTGATTGTTAAATCCCATGATTGATTGGTAAATCCCTGTGATTTACCAAGAAAACATGAAAATAAAAATGAAAATCACTGAATCAAGATGAATCAAGCAACAGTCTGGGGGCCACTGCTCTCCACCCACTAAAATTAACACATTCATCAACGGGGTACCAGGCCAAACATCGCTGGGATATCTTGGGTTTTTGATGGTGTATACCAATTTTAATCCATTCCACGGCCCAGTGGCTTTCACCAGTTGACTATGGTTCAATGTTGCGTCCCGAATGAGATTCTTCACAGGAATAAGCGACAGGAATGTCCACGCGACCTGGAACATGTTGTTTCGGGAATCTGTGGCTTCCCAATCGCTCAGCAAAAATGGCTCCACCATGACCAAGGAGCTCTCGATCATGGTCTGGGTCCAAAAGGTGAGTTAAGGCAATCAGGAGCCGCATCAGCAACATTCCACCAAAGAAGCTGGCTGTGGACAGCATGTAGGCATGCTTCTCTTCCTCGCAACTTTTTGGGCAACATCTCCGAAACATCGGAAAAACATGGCTGGCTGGGATGTTCTCATAAAATCCAACATGTGTATATCGTTGTACATCATTCTTGGATATTCTTAAGATATCTTAAGATCTTCTGGTGGCATTTTTGTAGCGTATTTTCCAATGCCAGGTTGGATAATGAGAGAGAGTATCTAACAAAATTCAGCCACGCAGCGTCTAACCCCAGATCTTTCGTCTTTCTAATCTCGAGACCAGCAGCTACTGTAGAGCGACACCCGGTGTCGTCCTTTTGAACCGATTCATGGATACTCCAATTACTTACTGGTGCCAAACGCAGGGAATTTTAGGGAATGATCCATAATCACTAGTAATAATAATCCCAGCAACCCCCAGCAACCCATCCATTCCCTACCTTTAGCACCAGTAAGTAATTGGATGGTGCAATGAATGATACACACAAAAACGATGAATAAAATAAACATCCCAGTAGTCAACATTCACCAACCATCTCTGGGTCATTCTCCATTGATTTTTGTGAGCCCCAAAAATGCGCGGCCAAACATTTTTTGCCGCCATTACGGCGAGCTTGCAGCGCTTGCGCGCAGCGTGGAAAGTGAGGGTCGCTTTAATGAGGTGTAGCTGGATGTTAAAAGCATGAGCCTCCATCAAATCGAGCTGGAATATGGATGAATGAAGAACATGTTTTCACGCAAAAAGAACGGGATGTTCCAATGCCACATTTTTGAGGCGCCCATGACCAGCCAGAGCTTTCGCCTGAGCGTTGGCAGGCGCAAAGAATTCAACTGGATGCACCTGGATCTTGTCCTACCAGATGATCCCAGCCATTGCCTCCGAATCACGTGATAGCCGTGATAGCCCGTTTTTTGGTGGATTCACAAGACCCAGAACTGTGGAGTCGTTGCTGGAGTCGTTACCAGTTTGAAACGGGTTCCATCACTCTGGAGGCACAAATCTAAACAATTGTTTGGGTCATCAAATCATTGAATCACTGGGATGCTGCAGAGGTGTTTCACTCGCAATGGCTCTGCCTGGCTTCCAATATCGTCCAATCTGTCCACCCATCCCAAGGAAACATGATAGTCAATCTATGGCTCTATGGAATGGGATTGTATGTGTATATATAATATGTATATCATTATATTATGTTCATTATATTGCAAAATGGGATCTATAATCATCTATTAGATAATGTTTCCACCCATCATCAAGCTATATCAAGCTAGTCAATGTGTGATTATTGTCCCATGTAAGGATGGAACACATGAAATATGCGGAACCACCAAGGAAGAGACTTTGATGAAGATTCCAATGATATGAAGCCAAAATAGACTACATCTTCATATTGTATATATATATACTGGGATATTCAGACATATTCAGACAGCTTCAGGTGTTTGTTTCCGAATCATACTTATCGCAAGTGGAACACTTCGCACAGAAGGAGCATTGTCAACTTGTGAACATATTCTGACTGAGTATTTACTCAGTCCGTCTGTTCACACCCACAGGACCCAACGGCCAGCACCCTTGCAGGGAGGCCGATGAAGCTTGACACGCTCGCTCAGCAAAACAACCAAAGGTGGAGCAGGGAGGGAGGTACCTGCTAGGCAATCAAGTTTGGCCTTGAAACGGATATTTTTCAAAGAGAAAGCCTATGTATCAATGGATATCATGGGCATGTTCTATTGTGTTCAGATTTCCGGTATGGCTTCCCTTTCGCAGCTAATCATGGGTGCCACTTCCAAGATTCTTTCAGGTAGTAGAAGATCGATTAGATCCAATTGATGTATCATAGGCCCCAGTAATTTTGAAAATCACCTGAGTTTAAGACTCACATTAGGGATGGAAAGCAACAACTCTTCTAAGCCATGGTTATTTTCGAACAATCAGCACCCTGACAATGCAAAGTGCTAGACTCTGTTAGACCTGCGGCCAGCTCCGGTGAAATGTCTTGGATCCATTCATTTGGGGACTGGGGACTGGGGACAGTAGAGACAACTAGAGCTACAGGGGACGACTTAACTCATATTGGAGTCCATTGGCTACACACCTGTAGGATGATGATGTTGATGGTGGATGTGAGGATGGTAATACTTTTGATGATTTTTGTGATGGACTTGATGTTTAATCTGAGAACGAATAGTAAAGTAGGTGATGGATTTGGTGCTGAACATGATGATGGGTGTGATGATGATGATGATGATGATGATGAAGAAGAAGAAGAAGACGATAAGGATGATGATCATGATGATGGTGGTGGATGGTGATGGAGGGTGATGCTGGTGTTGATGAGCTGGCGCCTGTTACTGACTAGTCAGTTCGGACGAATACTCTATAATGATTTAGGTATATGACTCAATCAGAAATCCACTTGTGCAAGTCTGTCGAAATCATGTTCGGATATATCAATATATTTTTTTCTATTGCAATATACGCATGTATCTGTGACGTAGGCCTAAGCGAGCCAAAACGTAGGCCTACCGCAAGATCACTAATGTGATATATATATATAGCATTATATAGCCCAGTTCTGGACCATTTTTCGGGGACTTCGGGAGTTCAAAATGACGTTTTCAGGTTTTGACGCTGTATTCAAATGGGCCCGAAAGCTTTCATCCTGCACTCTTCTCTGGAAACATCATCGATTTAAGCTCGAAACCTTGATATCTTGGGAGGAAAACATCAAACATACCCTCTTATCTAAAAGTTTGCGAACTGGAAGCCATGGCCCGTGAAAGGTTCGATTTTTGAAGCATGATGATTTACCTAGCTACTGTATGTTTAATGGTGATTTCCAAGTTTGCTACGTTCAAGAACCAGAGGTTTCATCCCAATCCCATTATATCCAACTATAGTTGGTATCTATATTACAACCTTGGTTAGTATCTCATTTAGTATCCCATTATGGTTGGTGTAAAAAAAAACGCATGATATCCAAGGTAAATCACCACCAGCAAAATTCATGGTGATTTAAAAACTATACCATCGATATCAACCATTATTAAGCACGATATTCGAACTATATCCAAGGTAATTCTAGTGCTTAGATGTGGCTTTGCCAAGAACCATTCTTAAGCACTAGAAAGAACCAGAGAAACAACTCATTCTAGCTCGCTCGGCACTTTGGGAAACTGGTAAACGGCGGCTCGAAGTTCGGGTGTTGATAATTGAGGTGGTACCCCAAAATGTATGGTTTACAATGGAAAATCCTATTGAAGTGGAGGAGAACTGTGGGTACCCTTATTTTAGGAAACCTCCATATATTGATTTATATATGCACATGTTTGTTTATTTACATATCTATTTATATGTAGGTAAACAAATGCAGGTATGTATCTTCATCTCGTAAATGGACATGATCATAAATACATCACTTTTATTAATGGACAGCCTTAATGTACAGTTTGTGAACATATTCATGATAAATGAACGTTATCATATGGACTGTTATATTGGACAGGTCTGATATAAGACAGTTATCATAAATCTATATGTAGAATCATTCTACAACTGTCCCGACTCTATTGGAAAAATCAGTCCATAAATGGACACTTATGATGGTGGGATCTAATGCCAGCTCAACTAGATATGAAAACTGATGTAACTGTCCCATACGTTTTCCATATCTATGCTAGTTTGCCTCAGGGATTTTCGGAACATCTCCAGGATTGACAATTTTTATGAAAGCCTGAATTTGGGGAGTTCCTGCAAATATGCGAACCATGGCATTTGGTCAAATTTGAGGATGAATGAGCCCTGGCAAGTGGAAGTAAGCAATTCTCAGGATCATTCCCCATACTAATCATCATCTACGGATTTTGCCAACCTGAAATGTTGCGTGGCGGTCATGTTAACAATGTTGGAATGGGCTGCTTACAAACCATCAGCACAATCTGTTCCAAGTGCTGGTGTCAATGTGTGTACCTAGATGAATGCAACCTGGCTGTTGTTAAGTCCCCATGGAAGATCTTTTGCAAACTACCCTTCATAGTGAGTCAAATCCCCATGGTTAGATCCCCATGTTGATGATGATGATGATGATGATGATGCAGATGATGATGCAGATGATGATGCAGATGATGATGCAAATGATGATGCAGATGCAGATGCAGATGATGCAAAAAATGTCAAAAAATGTCAAAAAATGTCAAAAAATGTCAAAAAATGTCAAAAAATGTCAAAAATCCTCATTTCTGATGGTTTAGTCCTCATCCTTGACGGTGAGATGACTTTTCCAGGGGAAAGAAAAAACTGTGTAAACCTGATAATTTCCCCTCGAACAAATGGTTTTTTGAAGTTTTTTGAAGGTAAGTTTGCAAGACCAAGTCTGGGATCGGCCTCCACCTTAGCCAGGGAAAAATCGACCAAGTCCATCGATGGTTTTTGTTGCCATGGGAATGACCTATGCCAAGAAGTTGCTTCTTGTAGAGCCACCAAGTTGCATCCTGGATCCCTATCTTAGGAGGGACTATCTAAAGAATCAGCCAGCTGAAATCTGTGATGTTGGTGATAATTCCTCTAAGCATCATGAAAATGCTGACATTAACCAGTGAGGTCGCTGTGATTGTGGCACGTATGTATGTGTAGATATATATATATATACATATATATATATATACATAGGATGATGACTCTTTCTAGACGTCTCGACGTCTTCTAATCATCTCATCTCATCTATCTAGTTCCACCTTTTCCTGCAATCCAATCGTTGTGGATTGCTCTGCCAGCAACACTTTTGAAAGGCACGTCTGACGGCAAGTGGTGGCGTTGAAAACAATTCTATTTGCAGCAGGAGAGATCATTACAGCTTCATTGCAGTCAAAAAGGACAGGGCCAATCATTTGGGGATAGGACAAAGCTGTGGTCCAACAAAATGATGATTTTAGACTTCAAATTTAAGACTAAAGAACGTGACAGAAATGATGGTGAATTTGAGGTTGGTCAATCGCCACCGTTCCCCCATTTCGGTAGTCAGTTTCCCATTTTTGCATCACGAACGATCAAACATAGGAAAACCTAATATACCCATATGCTCCATGTATGGTATATCACCTACATTTGGGCCATTTATCATGAAGCATTTGGATTTGAGTTGAGAAAGAAAAAAGGTGAATTGGGATGTTTTGGGCGAGAATTCCCATGGTCTTTCAGGATCAGTGAATGATTCACTGGACAAATTGATGATGTCAGGCCGTTGATCTCTTTCTCATCCAGAGAAGTGCTCAAAGAGCGATCGAACGACGGGACCCCAAAAGTGAAAAACATGGAACCCGAAATTTCGGGGCTTTGAAAGAAGTTGGGAGACTCTGGATTATCTTTGCGAACTGTTTGATTCTTGTGAAACACTCGGGAGAAATGCAGGGCCCCAGCCACTATTTAGCCACCATGTTAAATGTGTACTACCCCCCCAAAATGGTGAACTAACACGAAATATTCATAAAATATCTCCGACTCCAAGGTGACCTTTAGGGTGTTACCACTTTCATATGAGCCGTTTCTGCGGGTCCATGTGAAATCTCTCGGGGCTGCAACAGCACAGACTCACTTGAGCCTAAAGGCTCCAGATTGGAATCCCATGGTTCCTGCCACGGCCTTAGCTGGTGAAGTGGGAGGCATATGGCAGAACATGTCATAAAGTCAGAAAAAAAACAAAAAACTGCAAAATACTGCAAACATGCTTAAGACATTCATATGATTGTTTCATTTATGTTGGTTTCCTAACGATATGGTGTTTCCTGTGACATGGCTCCTCAAAGCACTAATTGGTTTGGAATGGGCCAGTTCACCACGGTTACCCGGATCTTCTTGGTGTTGCCTGCAGATAGACGATCTTAAACAATGCTGGTGGTTCCTGGGTTTGTGTCCGTGCAAGGAAAGCAGAAAGCCTGAATGATCAACAACAATTCGATGATTCGATGATAGGATATCATCCAGCTTCCTGCATGTATGTAAATATATACATACATACATATAATATGTAATATCATATATCTATAATGTGTATTATACATATGTATATACACACACAATCTATACATGAGGTTCCTCTCACATGACTTTAGGGGACCTCAACCAGCCATCAGGGTCTCCTCGAAACCACCCCTTTTTCAAAACGTGGAAATTTACCCATCGAAATCATCTCTGCATGGGAAAAAAACATATGGAACTCCACCATTTCTGATGGTTAAAACATGTTTTTTTAACTCCATCAATCATGGGACACCTATGAATGCCGTGCCGGGTGACCAATGTGAAGTAGAGGAGTTTCTGAACCAGTCCCACGGTGACACTGGTGTCCCAGAGGAAGAAACCGCATTCACTGAAGGACAGAAACAGCGTCAGTTCCATGAACTCCGTTTCCTGCGAAGATGAAAAAGCGGATCTTATTCGATGGTTTTTTTTGTCAGATTCATCCAAATCATCCAAATTTGTCAGACAATCATCCAGATGTTATCCGTTTCCTGTTAAGATTCATCCAAATTTGGAGTACCCCCATGGCCAGGGATCCCAATCAGTACCCCGCTGGTGATCATCGTGATCCCATCGATTTCACCAAGGTAACGAGCCAAGGTCACCACCCATTTCATAAACAGAGATCTTATCACATTAAAATGACTGTGAAGAGGGGGGTCATATTCATATTCTTATATACATACATGTGAATATGTGTATATATATATATATAGTTGTATGTGTATACATGTTAGTATACATATAGACATGAAATTGTAATTGTATATAAATCATAAAGTGATAAATAAACTTAAAAGATAAACATCAGATAGTCAATATCGGATTAATAATAACAACATATGAAACCATCAACAATACACACAAACAAATTGGTTATACATATAACATTGTAATAAGCTGTTGCTACCAGAAAACGTCATGGTCACTGCAATTCCTCGCCACTCACATCCACTTCAGTGGTATTCCCCTCTCAAACGCTCGCTTATTCAATGGATATATCAAAGGGAACATCTACAGGAAACCATGAATTTAGCCATCAAATAATACTAAATATAGGGTGTTCCAACAAATTGACCCTCAAACCAATTCGGGGATGCATTCAAACTGTTCGATTCAGCCATCCATAATTGGTACTTGACTATTCTCAACATGAGTATTTGATGGTCATAAGAGTCATAAGTCCTATCGCCCTGTCTGTTGCTTGTTGGTTGAACCCAACCCCAATTTTCCTTTCTGGGTAGTTTGTTTTGTGGGGTATGTGTCAACCCTGGATCACTAGGGTTGATTGTTGTAGGCGTCACTAAAGAATCTGATATGCATTGCTATTTTCAGAGCAATGTGAGATCAATTGCTATCCAAACCTGCTGGCCCCCCAATTCTTCACAACAAAGGGGTAAAATTAAAAAAAACGTGGTTGTACATCCCCGATGACTTATCATAGATGGGTGGTATTAACCTGTAATTATAAACCATGCCCAAATCCAAATGGTAATTGTTTTTGGCATTGGGCTTGCCACATTACTTAGTCCAATTATCAATTCTTCAGCTATTGTTGTTGGCTATACACCCATTACGAACCGTTACGAACCATTACGAACCATTCTTAACCATTATTCACCATGTATTCACCTTAAATTTTACATTTCCAGCCTAAAGTGATGTGTTGTTCCGAGCTGAAGCCCAACGCCCTCGTGACACCCCCTCCTGCTTGGCATCGGTTGGTTCCACCAGCGAGACCAGAGACGGCAGACGTCGACATGCCGTGGTGGTGGAGGCCAAGATCACCAAAACTCCTGGCGACCATGGACCACTCTACATGCATACGTATATCTAGGTGACCATCGTATATCTCCGTTAATTATATACGTATTATATATATACACAATATGTACTTCTACAGTATATGTCTCTCTCTCTATATCTATAGGAACATAAAGTGCATGGACAGACAGAGAGACAGACGGACGGACGGAGGGACGGACGGACAGACAGGTAGATAAGTACAGATAGGTAGCCTTAGGTCGATAGGAGGATAGGCGTATCAAAATGTGGATCTTGATTGGAAAACACGACTGAAACCGTGGATGAAACCATGCTCCTTATCCCGTCCAGTTTGCACCCGGGCGGGGGCGAATTCTTTGCTTGGTTAATAAAAGGTAGGAGGCGGCTCGATAACGAAGTACTCTCTATTCTTAGTTTGTGCCGGTATGTTCCGTTGCCAAATATGAAGTCCTTCATTGCTTTCACCTATGCCATAGTCACCAGGGGTATACCCATGTTTTGCCGGTGGAGTTTCCAGTGCTGCTAAGCTAAGTATCTGTTGATCAAATAGTTCATTTCTTGGTGCGTTCAGTAGCACCTTCTGGCCAAAAACCACTTGGCAGGACACATCTGTGACCATCCCGCTTATCTGGAATCATACTAGTACCTTGCAAGTCCTCCGCAGTCCATGGAATCTTCACCCACCCGACTTCTGGCTGTCTCTACCTCTGCTTCTTGGTAGTGTACAACTAGTCTGAATTCCTCTGTCGAGTCCAAGCTTAGACCCAGGGCAATGAACAGGATAAGAATTGGTCGAAGTAGATATATAATTCTCTGATGAATTGTATATTCCAATTTAGTTTGTTAAGTGGCTGATTATATAAGCTATTGAGTTCCCTGTTCTACGTTGATTATAATCGCGAGTAATTAATACCCAGCAAAAAAGGAATCTCTCTTGCTGGTGAGTCTAAATTGTTTCAAATATAGTTTAAAATAACCCGTCAACCTACCAAACCTGCTGTAGGTTCTGGCTGAAATAGAATTTAATTCACCAACATGAAACAAGGCTACAGTTTTCCACTGTTTTCCTTTAGCAGGTCTCACCTGAAACCTCACCTGTTTGCCCCTCTTTTTTCAGGGGATTCCAGGACATGAACTTACCCGAGTATCGCCAATCCTAGATACCCTACCAATATATGGTGCTTTTCAGTGGGTAACTATATGGTAGGTATCTAAGCGTAACTATATGGTAACTATATGGTAACTATATGGTAACTATATGGTAACTATATGATGTATTTCTTAGATACCCTACCAATACATCATGAAATACATCCCCATTTCCAGCGTAAAGACTCACAGCACTCAACCATGCAAGGTTTCCTCAGAACATGCTGGCGATGTATCCGCTGTTGTCCCCATATCTTCACTGAACAAACGGTGTTTGTCCCAAAAATGCTGCTCAGCAATTCTTCCAATTTCCCAGTCTCCCCAGCGGGTTTCTTTCTTCACCAAATACCGGAATCGTTAAGTTCACCGATACGATGGGGAAATTAAAACCAACCAAAATGGTAATTTTGCGGGATACACTAAATGATACATGGCCAATTATTCACTAAGTATAACGGGATACGCTACATAGAAATTTTGCTAAGGTAATGTTATCCGCATTCTATTTCCATTTGGAGCTTTCGTAAAATATGGCTACCCCCAATCATCCATTTATAGATTAATGTTCCATGAAATAAACCATCCAGCTTATAGATTACTATCATCCCAATTGCAGCATATTATAGCTAGTATCATCCCAGCTATAGACTATCATTATTGATAAATGGCTATGGGTTAAAGAATTGGTACCCCAACAATTAGATGGTTCATACTAAATGTACGTATGCTAAAATCTGTGGTCGCATAGGCCTTAAATTTTGACACATCCGCAAATTTACAGTTAATTGATTACAGTATAATAATCACTAACCGAATAATTTTCATTGATTACAACTCTAAATAATTCTCACTACCCCGAATTTGCTCATTCGTGATAATTATCCGTATAATTTTCAATCATCCATTGTCATATCACTGTAATTATCACTATCCCAATTGATAAATACTCAGTTGTAGATTAATATAGTGAAAATTATCATTGGGATAACCCAATAGACAGTTGATAATTGTATATTATACACGATGATATATCACTATCACTATCACAATATTAATATATATGTAATGCCATTATAGTTTATCATTATAGTGATACACAATATAAAAATAATAATGATACTATAATCCATATTATCATATCACTTTCATTAATCATATCACTTACAGACTTACAGATACTCCTGGAGAGACCCATCCAAATGGTAATATATGATTATCACATCATCGAAGTAATCGCTATAATAATCATGCTATGATGATTGATGGTATCCACTATAATTAGTTGACCTGATAATCACTATAATGAAATCATAGTCTATAGTATAATTATCATGGCGTATGATATATAAGTATGTTATAGTACCATCATATAATTATAATATTAAGTTGATAATCGTATATTACAGTACCATCATATATAGATATATATATATACATTATACTATAGTACAATTTCATAGTACAAATATCAATGATTAATAGTAACTTTATGATTATCAATAATCATCGATTGATTCATGTTCACTATAATCCATTGTCAAATCACTATAATTATCACTTAGATTATAATCTATTATCATATTTATCATAGTATATTGTCATTATAGAATATAATTATTACTAGAAATCTATAGTAATATTACCCACAGACGCCGTGTGTTGCCCAGACATTAACCTTGAGAATGTCGTGCTGTCGAATATATGATACGAGAGATTGCAATAAATACTGCGTATGCGCAGTGTTTTGCAGTTTGGGATTCAATGTTTTCAGAGCCTAGGTTTAGGGTTTCGGGTTTTAGGGTTTGGGATTTTAGGGTTTGGGGTTTTAGGGTTTAGGACGGTTTAGGGTTTTAGGGTTTAGGGTTCGTCTGGCGCTGCGCAGGTGTTTGAGCATGTTGAAGGATCATCTTTAAACATGTTTAAACGCCATTTGAACCTTCCGGGCAACACACAGCGCCTGGCCATAATATTACATACTTATAGATACTTATAGTATTATTTTATATTTATCAAGTTGATGCTAATTGATTCATTCGCCCATCGAAGCCGATCCTGGCAACAACAAGGCCACCGCGAGGTTCGGCAGACTCGGCACCAGCAGATCCCTCCGGGCGTCGTTGATGGCCTGGAGGGCCCGGGACGACAAGCGCCATGTTCCCTGGGAAAATGCCATGAAAATCCATGAATTCCTCCATTTTCCGTGGGACAAACCCTGAAAATCGTGAGAAAAACCCTAGGATTATCCATCAACACAGCATGAAAATGATATGAACGTCAACTATAGATGCCTATGATGAAGACACGTCTTTGTCTCAAAATGGGGGAATGACCATTTTAATGGAGGAAAGCGATGATAAATCATTGGGTCTTGGGGTAGCCTATGTTTGGACAAAGACATTATTATTACAATTGTTTGTATTAGTACATACAGTATGGAATCATCACCAACATGGGAAGAAACATGGGAAGAAATGGGATGCTCAAAGTGGGAAAAGAGAAGGGTATGTAAAAATCCAGATCTCCATTGGATAGGTATGCCACAGAATCAGTGTCAGTTGGATGGAGCTAGAGGTCGATCATGGGTTATCAAAGAATCGGATGGCTTACCTTTGATTCCAAAGAGGAATGAGAAGGATTGACAGAAGGGTGGAAGCAATTTTGAACTTGGATATTTCCGGCCAAATCCCCACCTTGTTTTTTTTCATTCATGGGTGCTTTAGGCAAATGTCCAGCCCTCATATTTAATGGCTGCAGGTTCAAAACGTTTGCACTGTTTGATAGACTCCTATTCTTTGTACCCATTCTCAAGAACCACAAATATGAGATGCTAAGATATCGTGAATCCTATGGAGAGCGTTTTGGGAAGTTACCGAGGATAATTTAAGACATCGCTGAGATTTTCCCGCAACAATTTGACCCAAAAAAAGGGGTCACCCTTGGAACATGAAGGGCTATCTAAACTAATCGTTGGGCCGATCGAAGGCTCGTTACCAGCATGGTCAAACAAAAATATTGGAGAAATGACCGTTGGTGGAGTCAAACCCTTGTCTATACCATCCATGTGTGGTCTATGCCTTGCCTAATGTAGGCTATAGTCAGTGGCAAATAATGTAGACTTGTCTCAGAAAGGGGTACCCCAATTTATACGGCAATCTCAAAAGCAGGCAAATGATGTCTTAAACTATGGGATGGTGGCTGGGGTCCATTGATGGTTGGTTTAGAAACGTCATGTTCCTGTCGTTTCTTCTTTGTGGCAACAAATTGAATGAAACTCCTATGGGTTTGAGACAACCTTATAGTAATCGAGAATAAATATTTGGGGAGATGTGTATATATATATACATACATACATTACATTACATTACATTACATTACATTACATTACATACATTACATACATTACATACATGACATACATTACATACATTACATACATTACATACATTACATACATTACATACATTACATACATTACATACATTACATACATTACATACATTACATACCATACATACATACCATACATGCATACATACATACATACACGCATACAGACATACATACATACATACATACAGACATACATACATACATATATACACATACACATACACATACACAAACATACACATACATACACATACATACACATACATACACAAACATACACATACATACACATACATACACATACATACACATACATACCCATACATACGCATACATACACATACATACACATACATACACATACATACACATACATACACATACATACACATACATACACATACATGACATACATGACATACATGACATACATGACATACATGACATACATACATACATACATACATACATCCATCCATGCATGCATGCATGCATGCATGCATCCATACATACATACATACATACATTACATTACATACATACATACATACATTACATACATACATTACATTACATACATTACATTACATACATACATACATACCATTACATTACATTACATTACATTACATTACATTACATTACATTACATTAATACATACATACCATTACATTACATTACATTACATTACATTAATACATACATACATACATACATACATACATACATACATACATACACTGAAGTAGGCAGCCTTTTACCGTGGTTTGGACCTAAAGGTGCACCTGGGATATACAGGTGATTGAACTTGTTACACTTCTCGATTTATGCACATGGGATGCAATCCAACTGTCGACTCTGCTCAGCGTGTTGCTGCTGGCTTGTGTCGTTGGAATCCCAGTGAAACGCTACAGCCTTTGGTAGTGCTGCAGCTGATTGTACAATCGGTCACGCCTCTCATCAGGGCTCAGCCGCGCGTCCTGCTCCGCAATGATGTAGTGACATCGATATCCATGGAGTCCTTCCAGCGATCGGAAGTTGAGCGGCTGCTCATTTCCAATCCTCAGCACATAGAAGTACTCGTTGCGGAAGTACCCAACGGTGATGTCTTCCACCTCGGGGTCCATGGAAGGCAGCGGAAAGAATGGCGCATGCTCCGCATAGAGCTGCTCGATGCGGCCAAAGGGGATCCTTCCCTGTGAGTACCGCTGTCCAGCGGTGTGAAGCTCGACTCCCAAGTTGTTGGCCTGGATCAGCATGTAGTGAATGCGGAAGTTCATTTCCTGTCTCCGACGTTCTGTTTCGTGTCTCTGCTCGAACTCGTCGTCGGAGGTGTTGCCATGCGGAAATGCCGCAAACTCATCATCTTCTTCTTGTTCTCCTTCTTCTTCAGGTAGGCCATCGCCACCACCATCGACAGTGCCAGCGTGTAGAGCTCGATCTCCACTGCCCGCTGCGCCAGCGTGAAGAGCTCGGTCAGGACGTAGATCATCATCTCGCGATCTCGAACGTCTTGCCAGCTCCACCAACCTGTCGATCTCATTTTCTTCCTGTGAAGTTGTTTCTCCTTCTGAGGCAGGTTCTGGTGAGTCCATTTGACTCGGTCTTTCTCCATCTGGTTCTGCTTGAGGTGGTCGGCTGTCATGTAGGCGTCGTCTTTGCTGTGAAGGCTCATCGGGATGAGGCGAAGCATGCCTCACTGTCCTGAACAAAATGTCCAGATCTCCACGTGCTTCAGCAGCTTGTCGTTGAAGTTGGTCAATTTCGCCACGTGCTTGCATCTCGTGGCATTCCAGGTCCATCACTCGGTAGACTACTGGAGTGACTTCGTCCACCATTCGAACTCGGACGTAGCGTCGAAGTTGATTCAATGACCTTCTGGTCCAATACAAAACGTAGGCTAGGCAGAAAATCGCTATCACCATGACTGACATGAGGAAAGCCTGTGCGTGCCGTCCTTGATGTGAAACTTCTTCAGCACTGCATTGTGCTTCTTCCTTTTCATCCATTCCACCAGCAATGCTCGCAAAGTAGAGGAAGGTCAGCAGCCAGAGGTTCGTTCGGCTTGAACTCGCTGAGGACCATGTACTTCTCGGAGATGAGATAGTGTAGTGCTGGATCTGCTTGATGTTCTCGATGCTCAAATGGTTTTCCATCCACGAAGTGTCACCCTTCTCGAGCTGTTCCTCCGTGAAGTCATTGATCACTGGTAATCTTCGAGCTTGGATTGGGTGACCATCCTTGTTGAAGAAGTGAACTTCTCCTTCTGCCATCAGTCCAAGAAGTGGCCTTGAGTACATACTTTTGGTCAAAGGATCTGCTGTCATGTACTCCGTGGGCACCAGGATGATCCATCGAAGACGGCCCTTGATTCTTGCTTCTCGGTGTGCCAAGATGTAGATCCTCTGGCTCTTGTCTTGTGGCAAGGCTGTTGCACCCGTGGTCAAGGAAAAGAAGTCCTTGCAGTCGGTGTAGCTGTCCACCGGCAGGAACTCCACTCCACCTTCTTGTAGTGCAGCAAGTTGTTGTAGCGTAGGCTTGCGCTCCTTCATCAGGATCTCTGCCAATCGCAAACTCACCAAAGTTGATGTTTCGAGGCCTGAGATGGCTGCCAGGGTTTCTGCATGGCTCGTTGAGTAGCAGATTCTCTTGGCCTTGGTACCATGCGCAAACAGAATGTGTGCGGGACCACCAAAGACCTCTTCATTGACGTCGGTTCCACAGAGAGTGTGGATCTTCTGATCAAGCCGTAGATGATCTGGAGCAAGTAGGATGATCACACCCTCCTGAGCATAGTTTCGCCCTTTTGCTGCGGCAGAGGCATCGTGGATCGTCAGGAGTCTCCAAGGTGTAGAGGTTGAGAATCTCTTGTAGGTCAAGCCCATGCCATAGTACTGCTTCTGCTTGGCCTTGCGAATCACAGAGTTGGCCATCAGCATGTCGCCCACCGTGGCTTTTGTGACCCTGCCTTGTAAGATGCTGACATCAGCAACCAAGTCAAGTCGAGTTGCTGTCAACCAAAGTAGGCCACCAAGCGCACTTCTGAATTTTGTGAGCTCCTCGGCAGTGAGAGGTCGTGAGTTGTCACCGGTGTTGGTGATCTCTTGACATTTGAGAGAGTCCACAAAGTCCTGCTGGTCGACCTTGAAACCACCTCCAGGAAGTTCAGAGTATCGGCAACCGCAGTGAGTGAAAGGTGTCCTCTGTGCTTTGATGCTGCCGTACTTGGAGTTGAGCTTCTTCTGCTGCTCCATCAAGAACTGCTCGCCGGAGGCAATGGCTAAGTCATCCACATGAGTGGATACCAATCCTTTCAAACGTCCATCAGGGTGCTTGAAGTGCCAAAGACATTCGTCCAGCAGTGATTGGACTCCTCCTCCTTCTTCTAAGGTCTCTTGAAGGCTCATCTGCCAAGCAAGTGGGGCGTCGTTCAAACCATAGGCAGGCTTTTGACAAAGTAGCCCAAACTTGCCGTAGGACTCCTCAGGCACGTAGAAGCTCTCGTCGAAGTGGGCCAGTTGTCGCCAAGTGTTTGGTGGAGGCACCACCACAACCTTTCGAGGAGGTGATACAATTCCTCTTTTGGCCAGCACTTGTCGGACCTTCTCAAAGGTGAAGCCCTTCAGGAATGCACCGCTGACGTCCAGTGAGGCCAAGATGAAGTTGTGTGTGGCTGCAACGCTCACCACCAATCGCTGTGACAGTCTTGTGGCCGTAGTAGATCGTGTTGGAAG